GTTTACCTATAGAAGGCATACAGCCGGACTTTTAGTATTTCGGATGATGAATTTGAGTCCTAATGCCATCTCCCTGCATCTCCTTCATGCCACTACTTGTCACTTGTATTGCCTGTTTCCTGCTCTAAAATGTAGCTCATATTTAATTGTGTCAGAATTCTGAGCAAGTGGTTGAATGTGAAGTGTTTTGGAAATGAAGAATGGTGGCGTGCCACCGCTAGCTGTTTCTGTTGTTCAGAAGAATAAGAACGTAAATTGTTTTCTCTGAGATTACTGAAGTGGAGATGCACGCTAACGTTCTTGTTATTGCCTAATTTTCTAGCTTCAGTATAATACTCAACACATTTTGGAGGGGGAAAGGGGGGCTACTGGGCAATAAATTTTTTTTAGCGTTCTCTTTGGTACCACTAGAAAGCTAATGAACTGTCTTTTGGTAGATTTGTGTCTTGATTATCTGGCTTATCCATTATCTTTTCTGAAATAATATACAGTAATTTGAAAAAAAAAAAAAAAAAACATCTCCCCACTCAGATGCATTTTATTATTGGAATGAAATTAGATAATACTGTAAGCTCAGTAAATGCAAATAACTATTACTTGCCTATCCCTCCTGTGAAGTTCAGATAGGAGATCTTGTATTAATAACACAAACTATTCTCTCATTCTGTAAAGATGTTACTCGCCCAGTACAAGCCGAACCGGAAGCTCCGAGAGTTACTGCAGCAAGTAGGAAGGTAGAGGTCATCATCCAGGAGAGACGAGATACAAAGCCTGGTGTGCCTTATGTCCGAGAGTGGGATAAAGGCAAAGGTAAGGAAACATAGATTCAGAAGCATTGCTTGGAAGTAGTGTGTACACAGCTGTTTTCATCCCTCTTTGATGACAAAGTATGATAAGACTGAAAAGTAATGAAACACTTTCTCCTTTTAAATTGATGACTATCTAGTGCTAAATGCAGTGATTGACAACGCATGCCATAGTGCCAGTAGCTGCATAATATCCCCTAATTTTATCTTCTATGAGTTATTGCATTTCTGGATGATCCAGGGAGCTTGACAGAATGACAAATTTCATAGTTCATGAAATTTACTATCTTTCAGTCTAATCTTCTCTTGATATATTACTATAGCTTGGGCTACTTGATGGCAGAATGGAACACAATGAAACAGGTACAGGATGATAATAAAAAGTGATGCAAGCAGTGACCACTTCAGTGCCAATGTAATGTGTAGTCACTGTATCTAGGAGACTTCATGGAATAAATGAATTATAGGGAGGAACTTGGAGGAGAAGCAAAGAGATGGTTGGTATATAGAGAAGGGAGATTTGTTGCATGATTATCAGAAGGGTACAATTACCATGAAATTAGATGCACACAAGAGACTAGAAGAAGAGAAAGTATTACTGGGACTTGTCGCGGATATTTAAGTTGAAAAATTCAGTAAGTTGGGAAGCCATATTACTGTTGTGTTTACCTCACAGCTGAAATGTATTTCACTGCTAGCCCATTTAGATATACTACATGGTTACACCCATTTTTACCAAACTACCAGATATATGGGAAAGTTGACAGTGGAATTATTTTCATTTGTATCAAAGAAAATCCCTCTTTAAATCAGAAGGCTTAGCACTAGTTTGCCTCGGCACTACTACAGTGAAAAAGAACTACATAATTTGACTGTTCATTTTGAAGACAGTATTTGTCCAGAAATGCTCTTTGAAGAAAATTTTTTTTGTCATTAGTGGACTTGAGCTTCCACTTCTCTCAAGCTCCGTTTCTTACTTGCTTGCACAGGTATCCGTTTTGCTGTCCCATTTGGAAGCACCTTCCTTGTCACAGCATCAAGTGATTGGTCTCTTCCAGATCCTTTCCAAACTCATTAACTCACGTTCACCATTAATCTAAGCTCATGCACGTTCTTCCTGTAGCCTGATGCCTGACTTCTACGTAAAAGCAAGCAAGAACAAGGCAAAGCCCAGAAATGTCCCCCGTTAGTGGACTCCTATAAAAGCAGAACTCTTCTATAGATGCTGATGTATTTCCAGATGCTTTTTACTTTTCACTTACTCTAAAACGTGAAGTAAAATAACTGTAACTCATGTTACTTAAATTTTACGCAAGCCTCTAAATTATTATGAGATGGGATAAACTGAACTTCACAATCCCTTAGATGATTTCTTCCGTTCTGTTTAATATTTTTACCAGACCAATGGAAGAAGTCCCCTCTGGTTAGAGTTATATTTTGCTACATCAGACAGATGTGTAGCCATTCTGTATCAAAAGTTTGTACTTCAGCTCTTACAGAAATCTTGGAAGAACTGAATAGTGAAAACTTGTTTACTCCTTTTTAAAAAGTAAATTTTGGGGGCATCTTTGAAAGTGTGGTGATTTGGAGTTGTCATTCCATTGCAGTACTTCAGAATTATATTTGTCATGCCATAGTAGCTAGAATATCTACCACTTCTGCTGAAATGAAGAAGTTATTGTTTTTTCCCCTGTGCCCACTAACAGCATAACCCATTGGGATACTGAGATAGTCTCATAATCTCCATCTTTTAATAACTAAGCTCTTAGTGCTTTGATCGGTGTGTGCTTTGATTCACCTTTAACTAATTAGCAGTTTTTCATAACAAGTGACCAGGTTGTTAAAGGATCTTAAAGTGACTAGGATGAGTTATTTATTAGAGGATGATGGTTATCTTTAACACTCAGTGGTTTAGTTTCTGCTGTATAGAGAAAATGGACTATTGGCTTAGCTAACAATTAGTACTCGATGGGAAAGTAACTTCAAACTGGTTTTGAGCAGCTGCGTCTTCCCTGCTTGCTAATTCCTGTGACTGCTTTTCTGACTCATCTTCAGGTGCTGAAGTCTATGTTCAAACTACCATTTATTTGTTTTTGACAGAATTGATTTTTGGACAATGGTCAAAGAAACAAGAAGAGCTCAGAGATGAGCGAGATCCAGAATTTGCACCACCTTCTGATTACTTTATGGGACAAAAGAAAGCTGATAATTGCAGTCAGAATTTGAACAGTCCTGAAGCCTCCCCTGGAAAACCAGAACAGGAGACAGCACAAAACCAACAGTTGTCATCACAGCAGGCCAGCAACAGCAGCACTGAAGATATGCCACCATCGGCGCAGGCTTACAGCAATGATGTCCAAGATGTGTCGGCATCAGTAGAGACCTGTGGCAGTGATGCTCGAGATGTGCCACCATCAATGGAGGCTGACAGCAGCGGTGCTCAAGAGGTGCTGCCGTCAGCACAGGCTTACGGCTGCAACGCTCAAGAGGTGCTGCCATCAATGCAGGCTTACGGCTACGGCGCTCAAGAGGTGCTGCCATCAATGCAGGCTTATGGCTACGGTCCTCAAGAGGTGCCAATGCAGGCTTACGGCTATGGCGTTCAGGGCATGCTGCCACCAATGCAAGCCTACTGCTATGGCGCTCAAGACATGCTGCCTTCGATGCAGGCTTATGGCTATGGCGCTCAAGATGTGCTGCCGCCAATGGAGGAGTACAGCTGCGACGCTCAAGATGTGCCACCTTCAGCACAGTCCTACAGCAGTGGCACTCAAAATCAGGAGCCGCTTTACCAAAGTTTAGACGATATGCTGTCATATTACAGACAAGTGACTTGAACTGAGCAAAAGTACGAGCAAGAATCATAATTTAAAGGACTGAAATAGAATTATGTTCTAAGCACGACTATTATTTTCCCACATCTGGGAAAAATAAGTTTCTGTAAGTAGATCTGAAATAAATCTTCTGCAGACCTAAGCTATTTTACATCACAGCTATACATTTGTCCCCTCAGAAATTTACTAAAATTTGATGGGTTTGTTTCAGCACGTATTTAATTTAGCACACATTTCATTTTTATTCTTTGCTATTTGTGCCTGAACTTTGGGGTTTATTGGTAGCTTTCTCTCAAAAATAGGAATTCTTGCTTTGCGTTGTCACTATTTCCCCCATTAGCTCTTTAAGCCCCAGGTAGCTTCTAATTCGGAGGCACTACGAGTCTGGTGGTATCTGTAGAAGAAGTATTGAAATGTCAGGCCTTTTGCTGCTAAATACAAAGAGGTTTTAAAAATGTATTACCTACTTAATCTACTGACTTTATGGATAGGAAATGCAGACCGTCATCTAGCAGACAGTTGTGGCATGTAGTTCAGAGTCGCAATGTCTTCTGCATTCCTGAGATCTGTATGTAACTTGTAATTCTGTGAAGCAATTCAGAGTTGGAGAGAGGCACTGCAGAAATCAATAAATAATGATTGTTAGTCCAAGCATAAGCGCTTCACTAAAGTAGAAGCCTTGACACCAGAAATTATCATCTTACTGGTTTAGAAAATGCTCTGGTAGTTCTCAAAGGGCATTTTCGTTGCAACACTCTGTTATATTTTTGGCTTTATTTAATCCTTTTTTCCAAAAACTGTGACGTTGCAATGATGATATAGAAAAGTAGGCTGACCCTTCCCTTACCAAGCAAGCTTCTATTTCAATGTCTTAATTCAGCTAAATGGTGGGAGTATGTATTTACCACTTAGGAAATGAAAGTTCTGATTTCTGAAGGCAATTTAGAAAACCCATTTGTATTTTAAAAGCTCATGAAAAGATAAACGCTGGAGAAGTGGGCTGGAATGGGCAATTTCATAATTATGTGTAAGGTTAAATAACAACGATACTGTCAAAATAGTGAACGTTTGAACCAAATAGTGAATTGGCCGAGGAGACAGACAACGTGCTGCTTCTGTGTGCTTCAGGCGATCTCGGGCTGCTTTGCGAAGCCTGGTGTATAGCAACGTCTCTACCACAGGGAAACCACAATTGGCTAAACTGACCTGTTCAAGGTTGCTGAACAAACCCAGCAGCATGCAGAACGCATTCACTATCCTCAGACTTTGTTTTAACCTCAGCTAGTAAGCACACTTCTTTCCTTTCTGCCTTCCTGGCTTTTGCACGGGAATTTGTAGAGCAGGAATAACGTCCCACAAGAACACCCATGACACCGTTTTTAAAGCAACATGCTCCCTTCAGTCTTTATCATATACCAAATTGCTATGAGATGGGAGCTTTATAACTTTGGGTTTATATGCCTCTAGTCAGACCTGGAACTTGTGGGTAGCATGGCACAATTAAAGGCAACACCCATCTGAAGCACACAAAGTTTAGCAACAGTGTGCTGTTTTTACTGCTGCTGGCACTGACCTGAATTTAGCTGTTGAACGTGAAGTTAGGTTTGTATTTCTTCTTTTTCTTAAATATCTTCAATGTGGGTAAAGAATATAAATAGCCATTGTATGCTAATGACTAAAAGGAAGAGGACAATATTACAAATCCATCTGTTTATACCAAATGTAACGGCATCAGTGTACAGGTTTTTTATTTAGTGATTGGTACAATCTCAGATTAGTCAATATCCATCAGGTGGCAGTCTAATCTCCTGAATTTGCTAGAAGAAATTCTGCTGGTGGATACCTGTTTATTACTTCATGGTAACACTGGAGTAGTCTGAGTCTGATCCCAGGAAGAATTTTTCAAATGCTGTGTCACCCCACGTTTACTTTAGAGTTTAAAATTGTTTTGTTATAGCAGCTTTGTTCCAGAAAGGTAAGAGATGGTCAGAACAGAGTTTGAAATTTGAGTAGCTAGAAGCAAAACAGTCTTCCTGCGCTGCCCCTGCTTGTTGAACTTGTAGTTAGAAGCTGAGGAGAAACGTTGTAATGCTTAGTAAATGCGAAGTGTTTGGCTGCCCTCAAGAGTAAGCAAGGCAAAACCTAGGTGCTGAATTTAGTTATTTGCAAAGACCTTACAACTTCCTTAGGGTACCAAAGTACTTTGAGTAAGTTACCAAGCTACCCATTACCAAATTCTGCTGCTGTGCTTGGCCGAGGGATCGCCACCTTCCCACCTCTTTCCGAAGACTATAAAAGGTTCGGTTGATAGATGTTCTCACGCTTAAGCTCTCCGAGAGGTGTGGTCAGTTGGGTATGGCTGGAACATGTGTAACATGCTGACAGAAGTGACTTCATGGTGACTATCATTTTTGAACTATTTAATTAGGGCAGCCTGGTTGTTGCAGCACTAGCCCAGGAAATAAAGGACCCAATTCAGACTCCCCCTGTCAGTCTGGGAGAGCTATGTCCCAGTGATGTACCTTTTGTGCCTGTGAGTGAATGGTAAGTTTGGACTCTTATTAAAAAACAGCTTTGCTCTATGTTGGAATAAACATCCTGGAATAAACATCCAAGATTTCACTTGTTACAAGCAGTTTTAATGGGTGAGGCAGGGGAGACTTGGTTTCCAGATCAGAAACACTGCTTATATTCCCCCCCTCCTTTTTTTTTAAAGCAGGTAATGCTATTTAGTAGTATTTCATGAAATCTATTTGAAAAAAACAATCCCTTTTGAGAGATGCTTAACTAACCTTTACTTAAGTTTCATAGCAAGAAAGAATTTATTACTGTAGTTTCTCAGCTCCTACAAATAGGTAAGATCAGACTGAACGTTTCTGCTGTTTGAAAGAAGTTGGGGGGAAAAAATCTTTAAAAGCCATTGTCTTTTCTGACATTTGGGTATTGTTTTGTATCTTTGAAAGGTCATTACTCAGAAACCACCCTAATGCCCTTGGGAAACAGGGATCCAATTGTTATCATTTCAGTTTGGCAAAAAAGGAAAGCAAGATGGCGATTGACTGAGCTGCTAAAGGCCACAAAGGAATCGCCGGTCCATGCTCAGCTAGACCCAGGAGCCCTGTTTGGACTGCTGTTGCACCCCTATCCTATTGAGACCTTCCTCTGATTTTGTTTGTTTAAGGCAGCCGTAGGAAGAAGAATCAACTGAAGCATAAAAGCAGGAGAAACTCGCTGGCGTGTGTCGCAGCTCTCCAGGCAGCGCAGTTTCGGCACGTGGGTGCGGGTGCACAGTGCCCTGTACCACAGGGCTCAGAAAGGGCAGTTCTGGGCCCTTGGCGCACGCGACTGTTGAGGTTTTGGAATGTCAAACGCAGAGACGACAGCCTGTTCCTGCTAATAACCGTCACAGCACAGCGGCTCCCTGGCTTAGCTGTTCGTGAGGTCTTTTTTGTTCAGGAGTAGGCTGCATGTAATGCTCTGGAATGTGAAGCATGTTAAACATTCAAGGTAAGAAATCCCAATGGTATTTTTCAGGGAAAAGGAGCTCTCTAATCTGTTGAGTATTCCCATTTTTTAGTGTTTTATTTTTGTCCTCACTCGACTGAGGTATAAAATAACCCTGTTTTTCTTTAACAATCTATTATATTGTGTGTAGCATTCTCTAGAAGTCTACTATGGAATAAATAGAAGAACTGGAGCAAAGACACTTCTTGAACAAATATATAGCTACACTTAGGAAACAAAACCTAGCAATATATATAACCCCATATGTATAGGCTGTGAAGAGGATGGGTTATTTAAGAAGGCAAGACAAAGAGCAAAGAAACATTTAGAAGCGCTAAACTGATTTTTCTCAGTACGGTATAACTGTAGAATCTATCACAATTTGCTCAAAATAGCTACCTTATTCAATTAGGATGGAAAGCACAGCCTTAAAGGATCTTAGAACGAAGAGGCTGGGTCCAATTAAACTAGAAATGTAGATCCCCAGCTCCTTTGAAAATCTCAGTCCAAATGTTTGCTACTTGATTATAAAGGGTTATAATGCAGAGAGAGGTATTTGCAGTCTGTGTGACTGGAGACAAGAAAGCAGCAAAGTGCCTTGGCTCTTTTGGACTCTGACTGAAGACGGAGTAATAGAAGCAAACAGTCCCTGAGTCAGAAGTCCCTGAGTCTGTGCAGTCCTGTTAAGACACATAAATAATTGTGGGATTGCACATCAGAATTAACTGCATTTGTATATAGATGTGAAGGATTTTAGGGATGTTTTGGGTTGTGTTACTTCACAATTCCATAGTCATTCTCAGTCTAGAATGAGTATATTACAATTATTTATGAATTACTTCAGAATAATATTCTGAGGCTTAAGATAATGCTGTTATCCCCATTTTGCAGCAAGAAGAAAATTGAAATGCAGGGTGTCTTATGTCACACAGCAAGCCTGTGGCAGAGCAAAAGCTCAAACGTGGTTCTGCAGCCTTGCTATTATGCTAGAGAAATTTCC